CTCTTGTGCGTTGCAGTGTGCGGGTGAGACAGCATGATCTTACATGCTGGTCAAATGCATCTCTACAGGCCAAGACCCAAATACCGAAAGCCAAGTGTGACAACAACATGATTGATAACTGATAAAACGCCAATGATAACCATTCTCACAGGCGATAAGTAAGCCTTGCCATCGCCGTAATGCCCATCGTTGCACATAAGAGTTCCCGTGTCGTTTTCCTGTCTTTCCTGTCTTTACCCAGCCAACCGTTTCCATCCAAGTTGCTAAAAAGAATCGCATGATCAAATCCTGCACTCGCCTATCCAAACGTAAAATCGCTGACCAGTCCGGGTCCCTGAGAGCACACCACCACATACGGCATGACGCGATGCTACCACAGCCTGCGTTGGTAGTATCCACGCTCTTGGCTGTGCGAGAGCTTCTGAATCTCTTCCTTGATGAGCCGACGTCGTTCTGCGCGGGATATGGGCTTCTGAGGCCGCTCCTCGGGCGACTCCTTGCTTGTCTGCGTCTTGGTGGGCTCTTGAGAGTCTACTTCAGGGCCTTGCTGGTTTTCTTGCTGTTGCTGTTGCTGTTGCGGCTGGTCTGCTGAAGCCATCTCGGCAGCATCGTCGCCCACTGTCGGTCTCACCTCCACAACCATCTCATCTTGGCCACTGCTGCTGCCGCTGGTCGCCCCGTGATACTCTGCCGGGGCCGACTCCGGCTCTAGCTCAACGATGGTGCCATCCTCGAGTTCCGTAGTTGGCTTTTTGAATCGATCGGGGAGAAAGATCTTGGGAGATGGTCGCGGCGAAGGCTTGATGGCAGCGCGGAGATCGCGGAGTGTGCGCTGCTGGATGGCATAGCCGCTCAGAAACAGCGCCGCAGTGAACACAAATACTGCGATGTTTGCATTAGCTACGACTGGCTACAAACTGACGTACTTGAGACGTGAAGTGAATTGAATTGAATTGAAGAAACAACCCTCTCCCTAAGCTCCTTACCAGTGACCGACGAAACAGCGACCGACACCTGCGAAGACGTGAGTAACATCCTCTGTCCCTTAGCTTCAGAGCACAATGTAAATGCGAATATATGTAACTTAAACTGTAACGATACACAGAAGAACGCGATGCAGTTTCAACTTGAAATGTCAATGCCAATTCCAAGTATCGGGCCTCATATCTCTTTTTGCTGTCAGCATCGTCATCCCGCTTGAAACCAAACAGAGCGAGTCGTTGGAGGGGCAACTATCGTTATCGCTTATCAGAAAGCTGGTAACTGCCGCCGAATGCAACCCACCTTGGGGTCCTTTTTTCTTCGCGAGATCAACGTCACATACCAAAAACCCACCCCAACTCCGTGCTTTGTACGTCGGGCGACCACAACGATGAGTAAGAAATCAGAGTACCACTTGACCGACGAGCGGCGCTTTCTGGATGAGCGCGGTTCGACCGCCTCGCTAGCCCCCAATGGCCTGAACCCGGCAACGATCATGGAAAAGGCAGTGCGGGAGCGCATAGTAGAGAGCTACTTCTGGAAGGAGCAATGTTTCGGGGTGAACGAAGCCGACATTGTTGATCGCGTGGTAGAGCACGTCTCGTACGTGGGCGGCGTCACAGGAGCGGCCGTCCCCAAACCGACTCCATTCCTATGCCTGGCCTTCAAGCTGCTGCAGCTTGCGCCCACCGATGCCGTCCTCGAGGAGTACCTGCAGTTTGGGGGGGAGAAGTTCAAGTACCTGCGCGCCCTGGCGGCCTTTTACATCCGACTCACCCGGCCTGATCGCGATGTCTATACCCTGCTCGAGCCGTTCCTTGCCGATAGCCGCAAACTGCGCCGCCGGGGCCGCGACAAGGGAATGACCCTCACGTATATGGACGTCTTTGTCGATGACCTCCTCACGAAATCCCGTGTGTTGGCGACGAGTCTACCCAAGATGCGCAGCCGTGATTTGCTCGAAGACCTCGATCTGCTTGAGCCTCGCGTCAGCCCGCTCGGGAATATCGAGGACTTGCTTGAGGAAGAGGAGGAGGATATCAAGCAGGAGCAGGAGCAGGAGCAGGAGCAGGAGCAGGAGCAGGAGAACGGTTACGACAGTGATGTCTCTGTCAAGAGAGAGTCCGAGTCACCACCTGCCGCGGAAATAGACGATATCTCGGACAGAAAGAAGGGCGACGACGACAGCATGGATGTGGATCAAGACGGATGAGAAAGGTGCCGCAATAGGAAAGAAAGGATTCATACACTTGCTGGCATAACGGCCCAGGCAACGGAAAGCCAGGGTCAGATGGCGGGTCAGGATCCATACCGCCTACCGCCACCAGCAGTCCACAGCTAGGCTTTGCACGAGTCAACTCGGCAGGAAAGCTTGGGCCCTGAAACACCTCGCGTCGGGAGGGCTTGGTTTTGTTCTGTGTATCTAGTACGCTCCGTGACGATGTATATCACGTCTACGGGCATGCAGTGGCTATAACCTGAGCTCGTTTTCTTGGCTGGATGCAAAAGGCAGCCAGGCACCGGAGGACTGAGCAGGAGCGACATCGCGCTGATGTAACGGAAGAGAGGTGGTAGATGAGACAGGTCATTAGTCAGCCCGGGGACAGCTTCATTCCAGGAGATCGATTCCTGGCAAAAGGGCAGGATTAGCCAAAGGGCCCCCCATGGACAATGCACCTGGAAGCCAATCTTTCACTTGAGTTCTAGGGAAGAACCGCAGTGTCTATGAATAGACATCTAGTTGACTTTATGGATATGTACATGATTATACGATATTGATACACGTGTGTCCAAGTACCTTTGGGTGGAACGTTACACTCTGTGACTAGCCCAGTCCAATGTTAAGCAGCGACAGCTTTAATCCTGGGTGCGAGCCAAGGGTGGGGTGCCATGGTCGTCGTCTACACCAGGCGCGCCCTTTTTAGGCCCCCCAAGACTGAAAGATTCAGCTTAAGATGTCCAGTCCGGCGTCTAGTCCTTGCGGATATTCGCATGATGGTGATTCAGCATCAGTGATGTTCGTCTGAGAAAAGTTTAGCCATACGGTCCGCCACTGCTAGCAACCGCGCATCGTCCCAGTATTGCCCAATTAGCTGCATGCCGGCGACGTTGTTTGAAGGCTGCTGCGACACATTCCCCGAAGTAGCAGAAACCTCGATAGGAATGCTGATGGCCGGAAGACCCGCCAGACTGGCAGGAACAGTGAAGACGTCATTCATGTAGGCATCGACGGGGCTTTTCTGCTGAAAAACGTCCTCCAGCCGCGGCGGGAGCGTCGGCGCCGTGGGGCACAAGAGGAAGTCGACCTCGGAGGGGCCAAATTTGTCTTCGAGCACAACATGGTCAGGCAGGTCACTGAGATCAAAGCTCCTGTCCTCCTCGGGTGCAAGGGGATTCGACAGGGCGAAGACGCGGTCAAAGTCGCGCCGGACCAGCCGGCGCACCCTCTGCGCCTGGATAAAGTAGTTGTCCATGGCTTCGGAGCTGAGCGTGTACGAGCCTAGGAGGATCCGGCGTCTCACCTCTTCGCCGAACCCCTGGCCTCTGCTAGCCGCGTAGAGCACACCGTCTGCTGCGTCGCTGTCGCTAGTGTCGTCGTTGGCACGCCTTCCGTAGCGAACGCCGTCGTACTTTGCTAGATTGGATGAGGCCTCTGCTGGGGCGATGACATAGTACGCCGAGAGGGCGTGGCGTGTGGAGGGCAGCGAGACGGGCACGATGCGAGCGTTTAATTCATGCCTCACCAGCGCAGCTGCCGCAGCCCACGCGTCGCGGATGCACGGGTCCAGCTCCTCGATGTTGTACTCCAGCGGGATGCCGAACGTGAGACCTTGAAGAGTTGATGGCCAGTCCTCGGCCCTATCCTCATGGTAGCCACGTCTGTGTTGAGCACATCGTTCCCGGGCTGCGGGCAACAGACTGGTGGGGTCCTTGGGGTCGTGCTCCGCCCAAAGCGAGCTCTTGCTGTTGCTGCGGCGGCCAATGACCAAGTCCGAGATGGCCGCGGCTGACGGTGCCAGAAGCCCAACCGTGTCGAGAGAGTTGGCATAGGGCACCACGCCGTGCCGTGAAAGCATGCCGTAGGACGGTTTGAAGCCCACGACGCCCGTATACGCGGCTGGCAACCGAACCGAGCCGCCCGTGTCGGTGCCGAGCGCGACGTCTGCCTCGCCCGCCGCGACCGCCATTGCACTCCCTCCCGAGCTGCCTCCAGCTGAAAGCCTAGGCCCATCGCCTTGGCCATTGCCGTCCGTCTCGTTCACCACGGCGCCGAATGCCGAGTGCACTGAGTGGCTGCCCATGCCGAACTCGTCCAGGTTGGTCTTGCCGACAACCGTGGCACCGCGGGCGCGCAGCTGCGTCACAATGGTGGCCTCAAACGGGCTCTTGTACGAAGGGAGAAATCGCGAGGCGCATGTTGTCGGGAGGTCGGACGAGGCCGTGGCGATGTTGTCCTTGACTGCGAGCCTGAATCGAGGAAGAGTGGCTGGAGACGAAGACGGAGAGACATCTTGTGGTATTGACGACTGGGGAGCTAAGGCAGTTTTGCGACAAGTTAGCAGGGAGTATCACATGCAACTGTTATTCAATGCTGCGAACCGACCTTTACATATGAACTGGTTTAGATATCGTCGCTGTGTTGCAGCTCCCACAACCTGGTGTCGCGTGGGAATAGCATGGCGCAGATGCAACTCCGTGAGCGTGCTTCTGGCCGACATGTGTAGCCTTCAACCCTGTTGGTGCCAATCCTCAATCAATTGAGCCGGTAGTACTCCGTACGGAGTCTGCTAAATGGGTGCTTGTAGGCCGAAAGTTGTGAAGGTTAGAGCAGTTCCAAACTCTTGGCATTCGAGCACGCTACCCACAATTTGGCGACGCGTGCAGTCTGTTTGAATGCCTGTTACGTCCCATCGTCATAACTGTCGTCGAATAGCCACCATGAAAGCCCAAAAAAATTTAGACGTTTAAATTGCAAAAAGTTTAGCTTATGTGGAACTTCCACATCATACCCGTCCCAGTGCGGTGTATGTGGATCGAACACACGACCTTCAGATAGGTGATGAAGTTTGACTTTCAGTCTAACGCTCTCCCAACTAAGCTAACCCCGCTTGATAGACGTATCCAATTGGCATTAGCTGGATGCATTCTTCCATACAAATGAGAAGAAGTTTTTCCGTCGCTTTTCACAGAGCTGCAAGTCCTAACACCTTGTTATAGTAAGTTGGGTAAGATATTCAGTTCGTGGAAACCCGTTGTTAAGGGGTATGTCAAGTCGTGGAACGCCACTGTATGAGTGTTCTGTAAGGTACTTAACCGTTCGTCTCGGGGCATTCCGCTTCTCAGAGCTGAAACCAGAGCGACGGGGTGGCCCAGATCACGGCCTGTGAAGCACCTTACAGTTGGACGATAATTATCCAGTACAAAGGCATCGGAGAAGATCAAGACAAACAGAGAAAATAAGAAAGCAAGAGCGAAATAGAACGAATCAAAGCTAAACAAGGCAACCTGAAAGCACCATCTCACCGTGCACGCAGATGTTCAAAGCCACACATACACATACCTTTGTCCCAATATTCGGACCTGGAATGGAACACCCAACACCAAACACCGAACTCCTGCGCCAAGGTGATAGACGTGCTTCCAGCCGCGGCTCGTTCCTCCAGTCTTGGTAGGAAGAAGGCGGGCAAACTGAACGAAGAAAGGCTTGTTCAAAACAATATATAGTCTCGCCAAAGCTTGTCCAAATACTCTGTAGACATCCCAATATATATATCCCCATCGACACATATCCCGTTCAAAACGCGAAAAAATTATTACGATGCGCGGCAGCTCAGGAAAACAAATCGGAACTCGCTCTGCGAGACACACCACACCCAACTCGACTCGAAGTAATCATGTTTTACATGGGGCGCCGCCGGGTACCCTGTCCGCCCCAACCAAGATAGCAGAGCTTCATTGCCCGATGCGAGAGGGGCCCACAGATGGTGAAGAGCTGGGGGCCGCATGATACTCGGATTTTCTTTGGCTTTTCCAGAAGTCGATGGCCTCGATGACGTCCTCTCCGCGCTCATCTTCATATGCAAATAGAATCTGCGTTGCGTTAGGATGCAGGAGTGAGCAAGTAAGAGGACACGTGTGGGCAGAGAAAGAAGCATGGAGAGAACAAGACTAACCTCGTGGGTGCTGCTGTGTAGCATCCGGATGTTCTTGTGCGGTACAATATGCACAGACAGGTTATCGATGTGCCGCAGTTCGATGAAGCTGGGCTCAAAAGCCAATATCCAGGGGTACTGAAGGGCGAACGCCTGAGGCGTGCCCTCCCAGTCCAGCCGCCACTCGGGCCGCGCCCTCCATCCGTTTCGGTTGACAAAAAAGGAGAACTCGCTGTAATTGAGCAGGAACTCTCCGTTAAGCCGCTCGATGTGGATCGGCTTGACGCCCTCCTTCCTGGCGACAAAGTCGAGAGACGTATCGGCCTGGTCCAGCAGCGACTGGGTTTCGAGCGTCTCCAGACTGACCACCTCGAAACCCCGGGCGCAGGCGACGCAGAGCTTGGACTTGAGGAAGTGCACCGAGCTGGACTCGGTGGGTATGTAGAACTCCTTGAAGGGCTTGAGCTCGTCCTGGCCAGCATTGAACATCTTGCTCAGACCCTTTTGCTTCTTCGTCCTCGACATCGCGTCATTGGGTTCATAGACCTTGATCGTCGTCGAGAGAGCGCTGCTCTTAACGCAGCACACCAGGTGACGACCCAGGCAGATGCCCGTCTTGAAGAAATTGCAGTGGCTCTGGATCTTCTTTCCGCGCTTCGACGAGATGGGCTCGTTTGGATCCAGCGCCGCCAGCGAGAAGGAGTGGAGCGACCGGTTGGACAGCACCAGCAGCAGCTGGTACTCCTCGAGGACGTCTACCTGCGTGACGCTTTGCACGTCGATGACGCGCTTCGGCGGCGCATCCTTGTCCTTGGATTTACGGTCCGACACGTAGATGCCGTTGTCGGTCCCGTAGATCAGCTTCCGGCCACCATCTAGCAGAGGAGAAATCCTTGTCAGCAGCTTCAAACCATAAGGGGGCTCCTCGCATCTCTTACCAAACGGCGCAACGCAGTTAACCTTGTTTTGGCCTGAGAAGAAGCCGCAAGAGATCACCGTGGTGTTCAAGAAGTCGGCGCGCGCGCGAAGGCGTTGCTGGGCCGTGTCGATATACTCGAGCCACTTCTGGCGGCCCGACTGGTTGTTGGCGTAGAGCGTCAGTTCGTAGCCGTTCTTGCCGAGATGACGGAACGTGATGGGCCAGCCGTCTCCCTTCTTCGTGTCGTTGCTGGATGTGCGGAGGGTGGGCAGCAGGCTCGACGACGACCTCTTGACGGCCCCTGATTGTGGGATCACCTCGGCCATCTCCTTGATAGAGAGCAGTTCCAAGGGTATAGGCTGTAAACCATGTCAGTTTGACGTCTCTGCTAAGCTCCTTCGCCGATGGCATTCTTTGCATTCTTACCCTGCGATAGGCTTTGAGTTCCTCGGCCTTGCCAGCCTGCTTGACCTTCACGAGGAGCACAGCGTGATCAAAGAGAAAGGCGGTAATGTCCGCTGCCTCTGTCGGTGATTTCTTGAGTTGGCTCTTATACACCATTTCTCGGCCGTCGTCGGTGAGTTTCAGATCCACCTTCTCATTCGGGCGGAACCGTAGCTGTTCGTGCAGACGTCGCAGGTTAAAGCGGTTCTCAGCCTTGCCCGACTCCGCGTTGACACGGCCGAGCAGATCCCTGATCATGGTCAGGACCTTTGGAATGTCGGTCTTGTCCGAGCTGTCGCCCTCGGTGTACTTGAGCACGTTCTCAAGCAGGAGGGGATACCGAGCCAATCTTGTGGTCGGCTTCGTCAAGTAGCCGTTCAGCTCGAGCTTCCTCGACTCCCTCCGTCGTTCCACCTCGTCAACAAATCTCGAAAAGTCCTTGTTGATGGATCGCTCGTTCTCGAACTCGAACTTGCCTTCGAGCTGCTTGGAGCCATAGAGAATGAAAGGCTCGAACTGTGGCACAAACTCGAGGAATATATCGCCCACTGTGCCCACAACCGGATTCTTTTGTTGCCGCTCCGTCAGAGCCTTGGCGAACCGCGAGCTGACGCCGTGGATGCTCGGCGGGTCGATAATGTTGCTGAAGATGGTCCGTACAACCCGCTCTCGGCGCGGAGGAGGAATGGCGGACATGCCGTTGATCTTGCCCCTGAGCGGCAAAATCCAAAAGTCGCGTAGGTATTCCAGATCCTTCACAAAGTCCCGTTCCGTGTAGCAGATTTCCGAGATGACCTCCTGCCTCTTCTTCTCCCTTTCACTGATGCTGTCGGCAATCTCCTTCGGCACGCTATTGATCCACAGCTTCTGCTCATCCGTCTGGTCAACGTCGTCGTCGTTCACAGTAGCCTCTCCCTCCCTCTTCAAGCCGGGGCCCATCTTGAGATTCAACCTTGACACTTGCTCGAGCCGTCTCGGACAGGCGATGGAGTAGCAAAGCTGATCCCTGGTGCATGTTGGAGAGTAACACTCGGACAGCAGGACAAACACGCCGTTGACAGCCGGTTTTGCCTCGTCTTCGTCCTGGAGGGTCTCCCTAAACTGGTACATCTCCGACGTCGAATCGCGCAGCCGGTGCTCATACGTAACATCGTGGAAGAACTTCTGCGCATCCAGGGCTCGTCCTAGCAGCAGTGCCAGATTGCGATCCGTAGTCCTGATAATGTATGAAAGAACATCGACAGCCTCGGCACCGCTGAAGGCATTCTTGTACGTGAGCTCGTTCTTCGTTCGATCGCCAACAATGATCTTCTGCCGGAAGCACTCGGCAACACGCGAGAGCATGGCCGGATACACAATGGGCGCTCGGATTTTTGCCGTGGGCGGCCGTTCGCCGGGGACCGAGCCACTAGCCGACGGTCGATGCGTGAGCGTCAGCGCGTCAGACCTCTCCGAGGCAGCAGTCATCGACGGCGCTATCGTCGAGGCCATCGACATGGTCCTGATACTGTCGTTGCCGGTCGAAGACACCATGCTCGTCGTTCTCGTCTGCGTCCCGGGCGGCGGCGGCGCGTAACCGTTGGGGAACGAAGAGATGGACGAGCCGTGGGCGTGTCCTGGTGTAGCATGGTCCGGTGCAGTAGGACTGGTTCCAGGCAGCCTCCGGCTCGGTATCACCCGCCCGCTCATCGTCTGGTGTGTGTGTGTGTCGCGATCGTGTGAGTTGTAGCCGCCGGTCAGCGACATGGTGCGGTCATCCAGGTGCCTCTCGGGAACGATCCGCCCTTGCGCGGTTGTTCGGGCAGAGGGTGGGTTGTACTGGGCGTGGCGGAACGAGTTTGCCGGCGGCTGTGGTTGGTAGCTTTGCGGCGGAGGCTGGTACGTCGCCTGCCTCGGCGTGCTCGCTAGAGACTGCGATCGATAGGCATCCGAATTCAACGCCGGCGCGGGCCCGCCTTGGTAAAACCGCTGTGCGGATGTCCGCGGCGGCGGCGCGTTATTGTAGTAACCCTGAGGTGGCGGTGGCCCCCTCATCGAGTCTGACCGCGGCGGCGCTTGCTGCTGAGTCGGCGGAAGGCCCGGGTACGGTCGTCGCGCTTGCTGCTGCTGCTGCTGCTGCTGTTGCAGATATTGAGGCGAAGGAACCTGCTGGCCACCAGATACAGAGCGCTGCTGCCCTTGATAGTACCCGTTACTCATGCCCCCATCAACAGGACGGTGCCGAGGAGAAGCCACCTCTCCATATCCTCCCGATCCTCCTCCTCCTCCCCCCGCTCCCCCTCCTGGCGGTGACCTCAACGGCGGCGGCCTCTGCATTCCCGACGTCGTCGACGACATCGTCTGCGTGCGCCCTTCGTGCATCAACTGCGGCGGACCAATCGAAGAGGTCATTGTCTGGGACCTGCCGGGAGGAGGGGCGGCGCCGAAGATGTTGGAAAAGGCGGCATCGCGCTGGTAATTGTTGGAGTGGCCATACTGGCTTGGCCGCGGCGGCGGCATCCGATCTTGCGGGTAGTCGGCCATGGTTTACTGGCGGAAGTCACACGTCGAGTTAGCCACCATTGTCGCCATGTAATTCAGTCCTTTACTATTC